ATGGTGCCAAAAACGCTGACATGCTTGGCACACTCGACATCCATAGCGAGAAATATTCGCGACAAATGCACTGCGCCTTCGCCGAACACGCACATCGGAACAAACATCTTATGGTAATTCTGGGCATCTCGACCTGTCACCCTGCAGTCCTGTGGTCGCGATTTTGTTGTTCTGTTACGACCACAATGGCGACAACGTGAGGACTGATGCCACCACCGATCGCAACACGAAAAGAATCGGCAAGCAGTCCCACCGCCCGACCATTCGCGCTCGCTCCTCCCATGTGGGGCGGAGACGCGGCCGAAGAGGGGGACAGGGCGGAGAGGTAGAGCTGCGCAGGCTGAGGAAAAAGAGGCACACTTGGCCTGCAGTCCTGTGGCCAGGCGAGGGGCAAGCTGGCAAACAGGGCGCGCACGCGCGGGAACCCTCACGAGCTCTTCACGCGCCGATGCAAACGGGTACCTCCGCGGTGCTGGCCATCGCTCGGACGTCCATTCCCTGTGTTTTTCGGTTTCGTGCGTGGTTTTTTCGCCAAATGATCAAGAATGCTCCTCGATGGTCCTCGCCGAAGGAAAAATGCACACGTCCGAGCGATGCCGAGGCTGGGGCGGCAAAGCGGAAGCGCTACCTGCCTGTTCTCTTCATGACGCTCCGCTGGCTGCTCACGCCTTCCGTAACGCAAACTGCTTCACCCCTGCACCAGACTGCTCCACTCGTCCTTGTGCCTGCCTCCTCCTCTTGTGGTCCCTCACCGTCTCCATCTCTTGCGAGAGCCAATATTCGTGCTCCGATGAGAAAACACCAGCCGGCGCACACTGTTCGTGCATAGATATATGCACACCGCCGTTGCGCGTCGTCCGCCACCGTGCCTACGGCACGTTGGGCCGTGGAAGGATGCCAAGGGCTGCCTGGCAGGGTCTCTGTGACCTCCTAAGGGACCCCTTCCCCCCACGGTCACGCCCACCCGACTGCACCACCCCTACACCCGGGGGGTCCGTGGGCGGTTATGGCGCCTCCATGGGGCTTTTTAAGGCTTCGATGAGACGCCCAAGATGGCCTCAAGATGACACAAGAAGGTCTCCAACACGCCTCCAAGAGGCCTCCCAAGAGACACAAATCACAGATTTCCCTGCAATTTTTGAAAGACGTTGACGTTTTCGCCTTTTCCGTTTCCCGACGCTCCAAGATGGCCCCAAAGGCCCCCAAGACCACCCCAAAACGGCCCAAGAGGCATCCAAGAGGGCCCCAAGGCAGCATAAGAGCGCCCCAAATCGGCTCAAGAGGCACCTAAGACGGCCCAAGAGTGCCCCCCAGACGGCCTCAAAACGGGCTCCAGAAAGGAAACACGAACCGAACATACGAGCCTTCCGCCCTAAGAGGCCCCCAGGAGGCCCAGAAAAGGCGCCCAAGAGGCCACAAGAGGCCCCCAAGAGGCCCCCGAGAGGCCCCACGAGGCCCCAAGATGCCCCCTAGAGTCCCAAAAGAAGCGCCCAGAGGCCCCAACATTGCACCCAGAAAATTGCAAAACTGCCTCCAAGAGGCCCCCGAGATGCCTCCAACGAGATCCCAACGAACATCCAAACAATCCAAGAATAGTGGCGGGACTTGCCGTAAGACATCTGGATCTGCCTCTCGTTGTCTCTCTCTCACTCTCACTCTCGTTCTCCTGTGTTGTTTGCTGCGTTCTCCCCCACCCCCTCTCTTTTTTTTTTTCTCTCTCTCTCTCTCTCTCTCTCTCTCTCTTTCTCCCTTTACATTGATACACAGATTTATTCCCTACACGGTGCTTGCATTTACGGATTCATACTTCTGTTAATGAATTGGGCTGGTGTGTCGGTCTGGCGGCTATGTCGCCGCCGTCGCCGCCCCGCCGCCGCCCGTCGTCTGGCCTCTTGTGTCGGTCTGGCGGTTCTGTCGCCGCCGTCGCCGCCCGTCGTCTGGCCTCTTGTGTCGGTTTGGCGGTTCTGTCGCCGCCGTCACCGCCCCGTCGCCGCCTCGTCGCCGCCCGTTGTCTGGGCATGTCTGTGGGTCGCCTCGCTGTTTGCCGCCGTCGCCGTCCCGTCGCCGCTTAGACAGCAGCGCGCAATCTGTATAGCACAACGTTTACTTCAGTTTATATCTCGCCGTAGCTTGCGCACCACATATGTCGCACGACATAGATTGCGCCACATAGGTTCGCCCTCCTCTTTTAGATAAGAGCAACCGCCCCCCCACGGGCGGAATGATCCGCCCGCCGCTTCGCATTACATTTTGCATCGGGCACGGTCCCATCATACATTCGAGATATGAACTCGTATCATCCCAAACAAACTGGTATCGAGGCCACCCCCGCCATCCCCTGCAATCTATTGCGCGCGCTTGTTTTTAGCAGCATCCCTTGGGGAACAAGTGGGCGAGATGCGCACGCGAGCGTCGTCGCGCGCGCATTTCGGAACCCTTCACCCCGTGAAGGTGTCAAAACCAGGTGCCCCGACAACGTATAACACGTGTGTTTGTGCAACGCCATTTTTCGGAAACAAATCTGCGCGCGCTCACCTGCGAAGCACTCGGATAAACCATTGCCTCCAACATTGTAATTGAATTCGGCCAAAAGGGCCTCTCGCGCTCGCATGTCGCAATCAGCCGAGCGCCCTTGCACTCGTGTGGTGGTAGGGAGGGGCACGACCCGTTTAATAAAACCATGCGGGCCACCCGCGCACGTTGGCCGCGCGCCCATGTCAAAATCCGATCAAAACTTCCATCACTGGCGAGAGGACACCATCACCGCTATCGGCGTGACCAACATCGGCGCCGCCATTGGCCTTGCCGTCGGCATCGTCATCATCGTCACCACCATCGCTACTGACACCATCGTTTCTACCATTGCCGGCGCCGCCATGATATCGCGTCCGCCCAAGTCACCGACTCGCACTGAAGCGCCCGCGCATCAGCGCGGCCTGGGAGACGCGCTGGGATGTGCCATGCGGTCAGCGCGGCGCGGCTCCGCTTCTCGGGCTGCAGTTTCATCCAGATTATACAACATATATATATATATATAGATATTGCATAACATCTGTGGCACCTCGTAGATCGCACAACGTATATCGCACAACACACAATGAAAAGCCTGTATTGCACCACGTATATCGACCAACCTAAAATGCACAACATGTGCTGCACCACATATGTTGTAACACATGGGTTGCGCAGCATCAGCTGCGCAACATAGATTGCACAACCTGGATTGCACCACATCGGATACTTCACATCTATTGCAGCACATAGGTCGCACCACCTGGAGTGGACAACAAACATGGCGCACCAGCCCGCCACATCTATATGTATATATATACATATATATACATATATATGTATATATGTATATACTGCTCCACGTATATTGCACAATCTATTGCGCCTCATAGGTCGCACCACTTCTACTGCACACTATCGGCGCATCACATAATTTGTACAACATAGGTTGCAAAGCATGCATTGTACATCATATGTTGCTCCACATAGGTTTCACACCATACATTACGAGACGCACACTGATTTGGGGTCAGCCCAGGTTAGCCTATGAGTGTATGCAAATACATATGGCAACCTGAGTCTCCAAATGCATCTCAGGGACGTAATGCAATTTCTGAGCTTCGAGGACCGAGCTGAACGCGCCGCTACTGAGCGCAACGAGAATTCAAGACTGAAACAAAACGCGAACGTCGGAACTAACTAAGACGCTCCAAGGGGGCTTCGCTTTAGCCCCACCCGTGTGGATAACATTGGAAATCAAACTCCCGGATGTGCTGAACATGTCGTGGGGAGGCCGTCTTGCTCGTGTCGGGGTCCGTGTCTAAGCTCCGGGAAATATTGATTCTGCATGTCAGGACGCCTGGTCTCTTGCGCGAAGGCTCTGGGGAACGATGCCAAATATATTCTTGGCCGTAAATCGCGCGCCCTCCCAATATTAGACGAATGAAAAACATAAGCTTTTGGCGCTCCGCGCGGATTTCTTGGATCTGCGCTGTATCCCCCTCCCTGGCGCGCGGAGCGCGTCAGGGGAGGCGCCAGAGGCGCCGCCGGGGGGGCCCAGCGCGGATCCAAGAAGTCCGCACGGAGCGCCAAACGTTTATGTTTTGACGTTTTTTCTTCAAAATATGCTCAGAACTTCTGCCATTCGTGAAGTGTGCGCTGTGGCTGGAAGCTGTCTGCAGTATACCGATGCCCTGCCCAAGCTTACGCTGTCAGTGGACTGGCGCTGGGCAGCGAGCCTGCTCGGGCGGGTGGTAATGGGGGGTGGCCTGAATTGGGGGGGGCGGGGAATCCTTTCAGGGCCCGTTCAAAGCCCCTCTTGGGCCCCCATCAGGGCCCGTTTAGGGGCCTTTTTGGGTCACCTTTTGGATGCTTTCGGGGTCCGCCTAGGGCCCTTCCAAGATGTCCAGAGCTTCTGCCATTCGTTCAGTGTGCGCTTCGGCCGAAGCTGTCTGTGCCCAAGTTTACGCTGTCAGTGGAACTGGCGCTGGGCTGCGAGCCTGCTCGGGCGGGTGGTAATGGGGGGGTGACCCTCCCTCCTCCTCGATCCTCGATCCTCCCTCCGCCTCGATCCTCCCTCCGCCTCGATCCTCCCTCCCTCTTTCTCGATCCTCCCTTCCCCTCGACCTTCGATGTCCAGGAATGGGGGATCGAGGGGCCCCAAGGGGACCCCTTTGGGGGCCTCCTTCTGGGTCACCTTCTGGATTCTTCTAGTGCCTGGCTGGGACTCCTTTGCGGGCCCCCCTCGCGGTCCGTCTGGCTCGTTTCGGTCGCCCCCGATGGCCACCCGCCCGACCTGGCGCGCCCATGCCTGCGTTCTGGTTCTCGGGAGATTGGCCATCGCTCGGACGCCCACTCCCTGTGCTTGCTTCGGTTTCGTGCGCGTGATTGTTCGCAGGATGATCCAGGGTGCTCCTTAATAATCCCCGCCGATGAACAAAAAATGCACACGTCCGAGCGATACCAAGCAAGGGAAGCAGTGTGGGCGCCTAGAAGATGCTCGCCGTGGCGCCATTCCTCTGGGAGGGGCGCCGTCGGCGAATCGGCGCCCTGCCAGAAGACGGCAACGTGACTTGGCGGATGCCGCGCTGATCGGGGAAGGGTGGGGCAGCAGAACAAGAGCAGAGAAGGGAGTTGGGGGCGGGAGGAGGAGGAGGAGGAGGAGGAGGAGGAGGAGGAGGAGGAGGAGGAGGAGGAGGAGGAGGAGGAGGAGGAGGAGGAGGAGGAGGGAGGAGGGAGGAGGAGGGAGGAAGGAGGGAGGAAGGAGGAGGATGGGGGGGCGATCCGAGGGGGGGAGGATCGGCGAACCACGAGGAGATGCAAGAGCGGACGAGGCGCATAAATTGTGTCGGAGAGGCAGCTGGCGCACGTGACTCGCCAGGACCCCCTTGCCCGCCCGCTCCTGCCCCCAGTCGGCCCCCCTTTGGCATGCGATCGCGGGAGGCATGGACATGGAGCAGTGGCCCAAGCGACTGACGCTTCTCCTGTCCCTGCACACACATAAATACATATATATATATATACATACATACATACAGGGCAAGTTTAACACATGGGATTTTGAACCATGTATTAAGTTTCATACCCTATTAATGTATGAACAAATGTACGCACGAACTCATCGTTGTTTTTAATACTAGATCCCGGCATGTTTAATACATGACCCGGACGTGGAGCATGTATTAAAACGGCACGGTGTGTGTGTGTGTGTATATATATACACACTAGAACCATCGCGCGCGCGCTTCGCGCGCGCTCAGGTTCTAGCCCAGGCCAGGGGGGCGCTGGACGATCTTGGACAACGCCATCAAGCACAGGCGCGCGACGGCATCTGAGGAGCTTCTGGGGTGTTCCGCATGCTTCGTCAACTGGCTGTTGGAGGCACCTCTTGGGTGCCTCTTGGGGGGGCGTCTGAGGGTCCTCTGGGGGCATCGGTTCTGCAATCTGAAGCCGTCATTGGCCGTCCTGGCTGCGTGGAGGCCCGACTTGAGGCCACCTGCGGCCAGATTGAGGCAATAGGGAAGCCTCCCGGGGGCTCTCTGGAAACAGTTTTGATGCATCGAGGGCACTCTCTCTCTCTCTCTCTCCCTCTCTTTTTATTATTTTTTTCCCAACCATCCTGTGGTGTTGGGTCCTCGTTTTGAAGAGACGGTGCCCCGCGTTCCTCTCCTCCTCTCCTCCTCTCCTCCTCTTCCCTCTCCTCCCTCCTCCCATCAGCATCATCATCATCATCATCATCATCATCATCATCATCATCATCATCAACATCTGCATCATCGTCATCATCATCATCATCATCATCAGCATCAGCATCATCATCATCATCATCAGCATCATCATCATCATCATCATCATCATCATCATCATCATCATCATCATCATCATCATCATCATCATCATCATCATCATCGTCATCGTCATCACCCACCATCATCGTCATCATCACCATCATCGTCACACCTCTCACACGTTTCGTGGCCCCATAGGGAGCTCCACCGAAGGCCCCAGTGCTGCCGCCCGCATGCGTCAGCCACACCCAATCCGGCATACCCCTCACACGTTTCGTGGCCCCATAGGGAGCTCCACCGAAGGCCCCGGTGCTGCCGCCCGCATGCGTCAGCCACACCCAGTTCGGCACACCCCTCACACGTTTCGTGGCCCCATAGGGAGCTCCACCGAAGGCCCCATGGCTGCCGTCCGCATGCGTCCCGCACACCCAGTTCGGCACACCCCTCACACGTTTCGTGGCCCCACAGGGAGCTCCACCGAAGGCCCCAGTGCTGCCGTCCGCATGCGTCCCGCACACCCATTTCGGCACCCCCCTCACACGTTTCGTGGCCCCATAGGGAGCTCCACCGAAGGCCCCATGGCTGCCGTCCGCATGCGTCCCGCACACCCATTTCGGCACACCCCTCACACGTTTCGTGGCCCCACAGGGAGCCCCACCGAAGGCCTCAGTGCCGCCGCCCGCACGCGTCAGCCACACCCAATTCGCCACACCCCTCACACGCTTTCGTGGCCCCATAGGGAGCTCCACCGAAGGCCCAAGTGTTGCCGCCCGCATGCGTCAGCCACACCCAATTCGGCACACCCCTCACACGTTTCGTGGCCCCATAGGGAGCTCCACCGAAGGCCCCAGTGCCGCCGCCCGCATGCGTCAGCCCCACCCAATTCGACACACCCCTCACACGTTTCGTGGCACCATAGGGAGCTCCACCGAAGGCCCCAGTGCCGCCGCCCGCATGCGTCAAAGCCCATACCGCAAATTCTACAACAACCACCCTCACACGTTTCGTGGCCCCATAGCGAGCTCCACCGAAGGCCCCATGGCTGCCGTCCGCATGCGTCCCGCACACCCATTTCGGCACACCCCTCACACGTTTCGTGGCCCCATAGGGAGCTCCACCGAAGGCCCCAGTGCTGCCGCCCGCATGCGTCAGCCACACCCAATTCGGAACACCCCTCACACGTTTCGTGGCCCCATAGGGAGCTCCACCGAAGGCACCAGTGCCGCCGCCCGCATGCGTCAGCCACACCCAGTTCGGCACACCCCTCACACGTTTCGTGGCCCCATCGGGAGCTCCACCGAAGGCTCCAGTGTCGCCGCCCGCATGCGTCAGCCACACCCAATTCGGCACGCCCCTCACACGTTTCGTGGCCCCATAGGGAGCTCCACCGAAGGCCCCAGTGCCGCCGCCCGCATGCGTCAGCCACACCCAATTCGGCACACCCCTCACACGTTTCGTGGCCCCATAGGGAGCTCCACCGAAGGCCGCAGTGCCGCCGCCCGCACGCGTCAGCCACATCCAATTCGGCACACCCCTCACACGTTTCGTGGCCCCAGCCCGCATGCGTCAGCCACACCCATTTCGGCACACCCCTCACACGTTTCGTGGCCCCATAGGGAGCTCCACCGAAGGCCCCAGTGCCACCGCTCGCATGCGTCCCGCACACCCATTTCGGCACCTCCACCAAACACAGCGTTTCGTGGCCCCACAGGGACCTCCACCGAAGGCCCCAGTGGTGCCGCCCGCATGCGTCACCCCCACCCCAGCACAGCATTTCGTGGCCCCACAGGGAGCTCCACCGAAGGCCCCAGTGGTGCCGCCCGCATGCGCCACCCCCACCCAGCACAGCGTTTCGTGGCCCCACAGGGAGCTCCACCGACGGCCCCAGTGGTGCCGCCCGCATGCGTCACCCCCGCCCTGTACAGCGTTTCGTGGCCCCACAGGGACCTCCACCGAAGGCCCCAGTGGTGCCGCCCGCATGCGTCACCCCCACCCAGCACAGCGTTTCGTGGCCCCACAGGGAGCTCCACCGAAAGCGGCACCCGCAATGCGATATTCACAACTGCGCATGGTTGGGTCCTTCGCCAGGATAATGTTTAATTAGCCTGGCGAAAGACCCAACCATATGCAGTTGTGGGTATCGCATTCGGGGAAGCCCCTATGGGGCCACGAAGCGCTGTACTGGGCGGGGGGGGGAGACGCATGCGAACTGCGCCACTGGGACCTTCGGTGGAGCTCTCTATGGGGCCACGAAACGCTGTACTGGGTGTGGGGAGGGCGCGTGCGAACTGCGCCACTGGGACCTTCGGTGGAGCTCCTATGGGGCCACGAAACGTAGTACTGGACGCATGCGAACTGCGCCACTGGGACCTTCGGGGGAGCTATCTAAGGGGCCACGAAACGCTGCCCTGGGGGGGGGGGGGGGCGCCATGCGAAAACTTGCCGCGACTGGGGCCTTAGGTGTAGCTCCTATGGGGCCACGAAGCGCTGCCCCTGAGTCGGGACCGCATGCGCCTGTGCCCCATCGACCTTCGGTGAGCTCCCTATGGGGCCACGAAGCGCCTGCCCTGGGTGGGGGGAACCGCATGCGGGCTGTGCCACTGGGACCTTCGGTGGAGCCCCTAGGGGCCGCGAAGCGCTGCCCGGAGTGGGGGAAACCGCATGCCGTGCCTGTGCCACTGTACCTTCGGTTGAGCTCCCTATGGGGCCACGAAGCGTTGCCCTGGGTGGGGAAACCGCATGCGGGCTGTGCACTGTGACCTTCGGTGAGCCCCCTATGGGGCCGCGAAGCGCTGCCCGGGGTGGGGGAACCGCATGCGGGCTGTGCCACTGGGACCTTCGGTGGAGCTCCCTATGGGGCCACGGAGCGCTGCCCTGGGTGGGGAAACCGCATGCGGGCTGTGCCACTGGGACCTTCGGTGAGGCTCCCTTTGGGGCCACGGAGCGTTGCCCTGGGTGGGGGAACCGCATGCGGGCTGTGCCACTGGGACCTTCGGTGGAGCTCCCGATGGGGCTACGAAGCGCTGCCCTGGGTGGGGGAACCGCATGCGGGCTGTGCCACTGGGACCTTCGGTGGAGCTCTCCCGATGGGGCTACGAAGCGCTGCCCTGGGTGGGGGAACCGCATGCGGGCTGTGCCACTGGGACCTTCGGTGGAGCTCCCTATGGGGCTACGAAACGCTGCCCTGGGTGGGGAACCGCATGCGGGCTGTGCCACTGGGACCTTCGGTGGAGCTCCCTATGGGGCTACGAAACGCTGCCCTGGGTGGAGGAACCGCATGCGGGCTGTGCCACTGGGACCTTCGGTGGAGCTCCCTATGGGGCTACGAAGCGTGCGAGGGGTGTGCCGAGAGCAGAGGCAAGGAGAGGGGGGGGGGGGAGGGCGAGGAGGGGGAGGAGGAGGAGGAGAGGAGGTGGGACGCGGGGCGCTGTCTCTTCAAAACGAGGACCCAACGCCACAGGATGGTTGGGAAAAAAACCTTCGGGACTCAGGAGGCTCCTGGGGGACCCAGTAGAAGGCGGTCAACTCCTTGGTCGAGCAGCTCAACACGGTCGTGGCGAGGGGGGGCCCACGGTCCGATGGGGGCTCCCACCTGCCGCGCGGAGTGCCAGGCATCCGCGGCGGCAGCGCTCCCCCACGCGGAGCCCCCGCCCTCGCCATCTGTCGAGAGGCCCAGGTACGAGAGTCGCACCAGACCTCGGCGAGGCTGGGGTGCCTGCGGGCCTTGACACCGGGCCTGGCCTCAAAGACAAAGCTCAGCTG